GATAGAGAGCAAGAAAGAGAGAGAGAAAGAGAGAGAGAGAGAGAGAGAGAGAGAGAGAGAGAGAGAGAGAGAGAGAGAAAGCAAGTGAGCGTAAAGGGTGAGTATAAATATGTTTCAGTAATGTCTTATTTAAAAAAGATCATGACATCTAAAACACGTTACAACTTTTAACATCTGTCACTCTAGTTACATTAGTGCCCCTATTATTTTTTTCAGGCTTAAAATATTAATAGGTTAAACATTAAAACCACACATATTTTAATAAAACAAGTATTACGTGCTTTCAAAGTAATGTTAAATATTAGAGTTATTATGCGTGGTACATGAGTCCAGAGGTTGGGTTTACTTAATCTGGGAGTGCAGAGGTTCACGGAATAAAGACACTCGAACCTATGACTCAATACGGGATAACTGGACCAGATGAAAAAAGGTGTGAAAGGAGATTTAGGCAGAGGAAATAATACAAGTAGAGGAAAAGTGATCACGAAGCAACACTACATATTGAAGGCAGCTTTTCAGTGACACAACACTCAACTTAAAAAGATCCATCATTCTTAATGGGATCAGTGCCGGAGGAGAAGCATCGGTGGTGGTCAGTTATGCAGCTTTTGAGTGGTAGGCCAGGGGACCAACTGTCTATCCCAGACCAATTATAGTGTCTGAATTTGGAAAGTCACATGTCGTATCAGCAATCTAGAAAGAGAGTGGAAGCTATCTTGTGGAGGATGGGTTTAGTGATGGTAGTGGCTGTAATGGAGTCAAGAAGACCAATTGTAGGGCTGGGGAGATGGCTCAGTGGAATAAGTGCTTCCTTGGCAAGCACAGGGATCTGAGTTCAATCCCCAGTTCCACCAAAAAAAAAAAAAAAAAAAAAAAAAAAAAAAAAAAAAAAAAAAGGCCAATTATAATGCTGTTTAAGTAGGAAAGGAAAAGAAAGAGACTACGATTAAGACTGCAACCATGGAAGTGAAATGAAGAAACAGACTTCTATTGAGGTGGTCAATTTGGCAAGAACTGATGGCTGAGTAGATGTGGCAGTTGGAAGAGAAAAGGATTTTTGTCCTGAACAGCTATGGGAACCTTAGTGACTGCAATGGGGAGCTAGAAGGGGGAGGGAAGTAGGTCCGGGCAGATGGAGTTTGGATGTAAATATATTATGTTTGGGTTGTTTGTGGGGCATGCGCAGTAGTTGGCTATGTGAGGCTGGAGCTAAAGACAGGGGTCAAGGCTTGACATGAAGATTTCATTATCTGAAAGCACAAAAATGTTAGGTGCACTTCTCTATGGCAGCTTGGAGATGATTTCAGGGTCATTACTCATTGTAGCGTGGTGTTGTTTCTCTCTTTTCTAGCATTCATGTTAAATATTTAGATGGTTTCCAATGTGATGGATGAGCTCCCTATCTAATGTGGGATCTCTAATATATTATGATACAAACATCATTCTATTTTTTAAAAGAATGCTTTTATGTAATACCGTGTGCCTACCAAACAGTTATTGGACGTCTACCGTGGATCCTGACCATTGTGCACTAGCTCTGCATGTGGACAGAGTGACATCAGCACATGATTTTAGCAGTCTCACAGCCTAGGCATATACAGAGATATTAAAAGGGAGATAAACTCAACACCAAAAACAAAATAAAAAGAAACACAAAGGAAGGAAAACATTAATTTCCTTTCTGTAGGTGTCAGGAAGTTTCACCAGAATAAGTGACATCTCCTTTTCATAAATAATGGATGAATCCTTCCATTCATCTTAAGGGTGAAGGAGACTGTGCAGCGTGGAGGAAGGTATATTCTGGGGAAGAAGGAATCGGGTCAGTGCCTTTGGGAAGGGTCACTTGGCATTGCCTCAGGATGAAATGGAAAGCAGATGGCCAACTGGAGAAATGGTGAAAGTTTTAGAGGAAAGCTACCCCTCAAATTGTGCAGACACCTTCCTGCACATAAGAGCTCACTCATATAAAGTTATATTAATAGCCTTCCTAAGGTTTTCATATAAAATAATATTTTCCGTGATACAGAGGAAAGTCGTGAATGGATGACAAGTGGAAGAACTCGACTTGAAAATCAAAGGTTGAAGGCTTTCTGCAAAACCAAGACCAGCTGGAACTTCAGCTTTTCCATGAAATTAGTTTACTGATGGGTCATCCTGCTAATTCAAGCACATTTCAGTCAATTTTCACCTAGGTTATCTAGAACTTGCATGAGTCTCTGTCCCAAGCAGGACATTCTAACACTCATTGTGCTGGCATTCTCCGGTCTTGCCTCTTTTCAACCAAGACTATTCTAACCTTGTCGATGAGGCTGCTGATGCTGCTTCTATTTTCTGTTCTGTTTTCATTTGGCAGATTCTTAAAAGACGGATCATGTTTGCCAAGTCACTGCTCAGGTCTCTGTCACAGAATTCTGTGACAGTTGTTTTAAGTCTGATTTTCTGAAAGGGCCGATATGATGAGATCTTTTGGTAGGTGTACTTTCTAGCAATGCCTGATAAATGAACATACTCGTCAACCTTTAGTGCTGTACCAGAGTTGTAGTGTGTCTCACTATGTCTTGCATCTCTTTTTGTGTAAATATTTACAGAATAAAAAAATCATCAGAAAAGCTAAAAACCACTAAGTAATAATTTCACAGATTGATTTCACATCCTGGAAGCAAAGATTTCTTGATGTAATAGGGCCATCAGGAATTATTACATAATCTCCAAAAAAAGCATAATCTTTAGGAGCTATATGTTTACATTTAGTGAAACATTGTTTCCTAAGCCTCTTTTAAAAAGACATTTTTTTATTTACTTGAACTTTTTAGCTAAATTATCTGAACGTAAGGGATGTGGTATTTTGTCATATGTTATTTCATAGAAATTGAAATTTCAAAGTATAATTCGATGTATAAATGTAAAGGAATGTGCAAGGAGTAGTAGTTATATCCATGTACAAATACAAATCCACACAAAAGCGTACCCTGCAAATCTCTTCTTAAAGAATAATGATAGGCCTGATGCCATCAGTAAGTGGATTTCAGTCTAATTGCTGTTCTCTGGCAATATCTGAATGTGGTCCTTCCAGGATTATCTTGGAGATGCTGAGTGGACACTTAAGTTGCTGCAAATAGGTGTTTCTGTTCCTTGTTGACAATCTTGTTATCCCCTTTAACAAAAGGCTCTCCTTGCTTCAGACACCATAGTGTTTCCTGGGAATCTGCAGACAATATTTTATACTTGAACTCTTCTAATAATACAGCAGTCTTAATTAATCTTGCCATTCTCTAAGGACTTGCAACTGTAATTTGCACCATATAATTAAGCACTTCATTGGGTAGCGCGGTATGGTGGCACTGATTATGTGTGGGTGTCAGTCTTATCGCTCACAGATACTGCAAACTTTCCAGAGAGTCATAAGCATTCATTGGGTGAATATTTATTGAATTCGTATGAAGCGTTTGTGCACTCTGAGGCAACAGCAACAGAGTACTAAAGAAAATACCAATAACGAAACTCAGAACATCATTGAATTTTAATTCTAGTAAAGTATTGACAATACATAAATAATTTAAACATATGGTGTGTTGGTTTCTTATATGAAAATAAGGACAAGGGTGCGAAGTCCTATCAGTCCATAACAATAGCATGCTCCTTTGAAGCAGGAAGTGCTGTGGGCGGGTCTGGGTAAGTTTAGAAGGTGGTAAGGGATGGTGACAGCAAGGACAAGGCAGACATTGGTGGGGCACTTCCTGGCACAGCCAAGAGACAAGGCCACAGAAACTGTCATGGCGCTCAAGAGGGCACTCCTTAGGGCTGCTGTGTTTCTCATGACCGAGGGATATTTTTGGCACTCTTTAACCAAATGGAATTTAGAAAACAAAACAGAACAGAACAAAAACAAGAACAAAAAGCCATGGAACGTTATTTCCCTAGAGTATCAGGGCAGGTTTACCTGACTTCTAACTCCTACTGATCCTGTCTGAGCTGGGTCATCACTGTTTGGGGACTCTGCCCCAGTCACATAGAATATGCTGCATCTTTCTTGTATACATGCCTTACACCCTGACTGGATCTTTACATACAAGTATTTAATTATCTGTTATTATTTTTCAGTGTCTGAGTCACTTATCAGAAGGCAAGAGGGACCTATTTTGGCCATGTGTGTCCTCTTCTCATGATGCACACTCAATGAAATAACCATAGTCTTACACACGCATAAACACATGCATACACACAAGTACACTCACATATCCTTAAATTCCACTCATGGACATGACAACCCTTTTTGACTGATCTTTCTTTACTTGAATAAAATGCAGAGCTGAGGCCAAGTGGAAAGCAATAGGGAAGATGCAGGAGTCTCTGAAGGTCCAGCTTCCCTCCCAGAGACTTGAAGGAAATCCTTTCAGCATGAATCCCAATATTACTGGCATCAACAAGAACACCAAATATGTAAACTGACCCAAACATCCAATATGTGCTACAAAGCCCTGGTTATGTACTAGGCTCTACTTGCGATGCCTGGGACAAATCCTTCCTGCTACACAATGAAGTTAATATTCTGCATCAAGAGAAGACACACAATAATTCTAATAAATAAACTACACAATAGTATGAGGAGGTTAGTTTCAGGGGAATATGGAGCCCACTAAGAGAAACTGAGAGTATAATTTCAGGTAATGTAAACAGCCTTTGTCAAACAGGTAAGAGTTGAGATATGTTGGAACTATTTTGAGAATGAGGAGAACAGGTGGAAAAGGGAAAAAATAAGGAAATGTTCTAGATAGGGTAGATCATATATCTGAATACAAAGGAAAATGAGGCTGAGTCAGGCGTATTTCTAAGAGAAGGAAAGACAATTTCCCTGTCTTTCAATCATAATTTAATTTTTTGACAAAATTAACTTACCATTTGAATAAAAGAAAGCATTATTTTAAAACAAGAAAAAAATCAAAACACATTTTGAGTAAAAAAGAAAATGAAGGCATTTATAGATAAGATGGGGAGCTTACCATTTTTGCTGATGTCAAGTTCTTTGAGATTAACTAAACTAGCAATGGAGGCTGGCAGGCTTGAGAGGTCATTATCGGGAATACTTAGTTTCCGTAGAGCTTGACAGTTGAACAGTTGCTGTAACAGAGAATAATCATTAGATCACAATTCAGTCAAATTCATTCATAAGTACATTTAAATTCAGTCATAATATCCGAGTTATCATTTGTATGAGTGTAATGGCAAGAGAGCCGGCCATAAAGGACTCATTCTTAGTTGTTCTTAGAGTTGTTTCTACATTCCATCCTCTTTTGAGCTCTTCGCTGCTTTTTTTGCTACCAAGAGGCAAACCCCAAAGTACTTTTCCCTACTGCTTTCCATTTACATTCAATTTGCAACTGAATGCTCCTGATTTCTTTTCCTTAGAAATAACTTCTGAAGTTGTCCCGGCATCCACCCAGAGTGACCTGAATTCCCTTCTGCATTCTTGTTAGACTTCACCAAGGGTTTCATCCATGTCGCCAAGTTAAACAGTTACTTCTGTATCATACAAGCACTGCAATGTGTCAGAATACATTTCTTTGAGGTTACCCTGGACGGGTTCATAAAGATCTAGTACACAGGCAATTAATATTTGATATTTGCTGAAAAAATTTACTGGCATTTTGTTCATTTTTTTCAAGTAGTCTAAAGTATTAGATAGGGTAAACCCAAGTTCTAACCAGTGATTCTCAAATCCGACATGATCTTCACCACTGGTAGATGGCGGTGATTTTTATAAGACATGGATTCTTGGGCTATTTTCATGTAGCTCCCCACACAGCAGTTCTTGGAAAAGGGTAAAAGATGCCTGCAGTTTTAGCGTGCACATCAGTAGTGTGCATATTCTGATGTAGGTGTTTGCGTACCATACTTAGAAAAACGATACATTTAAATTTTTGTTAGCTCTGTCCAACTCAGCTAGCACAAGATTTGAAGAGCTGGGGTAGAAGTTTTGATTCGTTTCTGGAAGAATTATCTTAATGAGATCTTTTCTGTTTGACATTTCTAATGCTGTTTTGTGGAATTTCTACAGGTTAAGTTTGATATCCACGACAAGGCAGTTGACCCTGGAGTATTTAACTACCACTTGTTCTTACATGTCATTCATTATTTATAGGGAAAAACAATGGAACACATGGTTGTTTCTTAACTCATTAGGTTTGTAAAAATAGATTGCGCTACTTGTTACATAAAACCAAACATGAATTTTTTTTACTTTGAGTTAGTCATTTGGCTCTTTTTAAAGATTATTTCCAACATTTCATGTAGTGCTAGAATTAGTTTTGAACATCCTATACAGAAATGTTCCTTCTTCTTTTTATAAAATCTCCAAAAGTGAACTATAATGATACTTTGACTGATATTTTCCACTAACTTAGTTTTCTTTCTGAAGAAATAGGAAAACAGATGTCTATATTTATAGCAAAAATTCATTTAAAATTATTTCCGGTTTCCATCATTCTCTTCGGACTATTACATGTACATTTTTCTGTCATATGGTTACTTATAAATTCATACTTAAAAATCAACTATCTTATCACTGATTTAGGGAAGATTTACTAACAGACTGATTAAAGCAATGTTCAGGTTAACAAATTTCAAAACAGCTTGTTTTGTAAAGACATTTTCTCATCACAACTACACTCTGAAATGCTGTCCAGAATTAACAGAGGTTCCAGTGTTCTTGTTCAGTGTTAAATAAGCCTACAAAAAAGATGAAAGACAGATGCAGAAAAACCTTGACCTGCTAGAACAGAATTGAAGGCCTCTCAGATACGAACTACGAGGAAGATATCTGGACTTGGTTCAGTCTTGGCTCGTCTCTCCACTGCAATGCCCTCTTATGCAAGTTGCCTAACATCTCTGAACCCATCAGTCTTCTTGCTGGAAAATGGGAATAATAACCTACTTATGCTGAAGAATGGTTAAGAGGATGAACAAAGCTAATATCCTTTATCTACTGTAAGTCCCATGAGTCTCTCCTGCTATTAAGACTGTTATTATTTTTAAAGAAATGTCCTTCTCTTCCTTAATAGCTTTGGAATTATGGTGTGGACTTAAATCAAAGGAAGTTGGGTGCCTGCAAAATGTGGAGCCAAGTGGCACATTCTAAAGCTAAGCATGAGCACTTAGGAGCAGTTACATTCCCAGATACAGAGGCAAATCTGTGCAATGATTTGTTTCTTACTTTTAAAGAGGAGAAGGCTTTGCAGAGCAGAGTCATGCTCAATACCTCTTGGTATCAACCATTTCCTCTATTCTGTGTGCCATGGTGACTAAGATTTTCCTCTATAGTGCAAACCTTTTCCAAAGCACACAAAGATAATCACAGAGAGCACATTGGCCAAGCAATGGCTGTGACTCATCCACATGGCTGACACTGACAAAGGTTCTACAATCTGAGGTACAGGATCTCAGGAT